ATCTATTACGTACAGCTGATGGAAATAATATTGATACAATATTTATTGATCGACGTGAATCAAATGAAACACGTAATGGTCAAACTTTAGTTATTACATGCGAAGGTAATGCTGGATTTTATGAGATGGGTTGTGTGTCAACACCAGTCGATGCTGGATATTCAGTACTTGGCTGGAATCGACCAGGATTTGGTGAAAGTTCGGTAAGATATCTAATTTATCAACATACAATTATCAATTTTAAGATTTTACATATATTTGTAATAATCTTACTTCATATTATAAATGATTTAATAGAAAAACAAATTTATGATGATGAATCGAGTTCGTTTCTAAGGATGTTATAATCATATACTGATAGTTTATTAAAATTTCATTCTTTTTTCTCGATGGTGAAACAATAAACTTGTCACAAGTGATAAAAAATGAAAAAACCAAAAAAAGGATTAATCCACTTCGCATCATTAATTTTAAACTGATGAAATAATTTACTGTAGGCTTAAGTTTTTAAATTCAAACGAGCTTGGATTCTTACCGGCAGATTGACAAAACAATAGAAGTTCACATTTCTGGTAAAATAAGGCGGTTTCATTAGTTATTATCATAGAGACTGTCTATCCTGCAGAACTTCGAAGGATTTTGTATCACGTCATACTGATAAAATATCTTAAACAATGTTTCAAAAGACCTCGAAACTGAATTCTATGCTGTTTTCGATCTTGATTTTCTTTCCAAGTACGCATTCATTCTCCATCCATTTCGAAATTCTTTTTATATTTATTGACTAGCATTTAAAATACAATATACAGTACTGAAACTTTCGATATATATGTATATTTGTGGTCTTGTAAGGACTTCTCGAAAGCTTTCATTTGAATAGTTGCTAGTTTATAGAGAGACCAATGAATAATGAGTTTATATCCATACACTATTTCAGTAGAAATAAATCCAATCATACGCTCTTAAAAAAAAATCATTGTGAAGAATTTACTACACAATTTACATTTTTCAGATAATTGTACATATAGTATGTAGCAATTATAATTCAGTTTGTTAAGTTCGAATTGATATTCACTTCTAATCATATAAATAATGTTTGCTGATTGTTACCTTTCGATCATTTGAATTTTCAGAAAATCCACGATTCTTGCTGTAAGTATCACAGCAGTTTCTTAGGCTGTATGGTCCATTTTAGTTTTGTAAGGTCCCAATACGATAACAAACATTGATATTCATTGACCTGTAAAGAATGGATATACACCGGACTGATCGTCATCCTTCGACTGTGAATGAATGGGATTCGCAGGTGATAACTAATTGTTGTTTTCGGAGTCATTGTGAAACATGCTTCGGACGACTAGCCTTGAAGCGCTTTACTAGAATCATCAAGATGATGCTATTCATCTGACAGTACGGAGAACTAATGAGTTGAATTTTTATCGAATTACATCTGCCTCAAAACAACATATAATGTCGAGTACCTTTCTTTGTCAATCGTTTCTTGAAGAATTTTTTATTGAAAATAACTGTTCTAACATAATGATACTATTCGAATTATGATACTAATCAATTGACAATAAAATTAATATTAATATATCTTTGTTTTTCTTTATTAGGGTTATCCTGGTACAATTTCAGAAATAAATTCAATCGATGCCGTAATGCGTTATGCAATAGAAGAACTTCATTTTCTTGTCGACGATATAGTTATATTTGCATGGTCAATAGGTGGTTACTCTGCATGTTGGACAGCTGTTAATTATCAAGATATTCGTGGTCTTGTCCTAGATGCTGTTTTTGATGATGTTTTACCATTAGCACAACGTCAAATGCCAACATATACATCAAAATTTGTTGAAAAAACAATACGTTATTATCTTGATTTAAATAATATTCAATTACTTAAATTATATAATGGACCATTTTATCTTATACGTCGTACACAAGATGAAATAATTAGTCTTATACCTGGCCGTTTAGAAACAAATCGTGGTAATGAACTTTTATTTCATATTCTTCATTATCGATATCCATTGATTTATAATGATGATCAAACATTAACACTTTTAAGACGATATATTTGTTCAAATAGTATACAAAAAATTGCTTTACTTGAACAATATTGTTCAAATCAACGTGAATTACAAACACGAACACATGAATATCGTATAGAAAATCCAGTTGCATCATATCCAAGCAAATTTGGTAATCATTTTTATACTACAAATTATCAAACTTTCTACAATAGTTTCTTTATTTTTTAGGTGAGAATTTTTCATTACTTGAACGACAACGTTTTGCAATCTACATAGTCGATCAATATTTAGTTGATTTCGATTCTCAACATTGTACACCTTTACCACAAACTTATTTTCACGTACCTAGTCGATGTATTTGATAGTCTTTTTCCTTTTTTCTTCTTTTTGATATGCATATCGTGTAAGAGTTAATAAATATAAGAAAAAAAAAAAACAATGAAAAATGATTTATCAATGTATGATCATCGACAATTTTAAAAACATGTTTGAGATTCTTATACATATGCATTGTTAATATTTGTTAAAAATAATTGAAAATAGAACTTAATTTAGAACTATGAATTGAAGATAGGATCAATTCGGTTTGAACTTATGCATAAAACTAAGATGATTGGGCTTGAATCTTACTTTAAATCAAAACACTTCAAGGCTGAAGTCTCTCTACTATTTCCCTCTCAGGTTACGTTCGATTCAAGAGACACGTGAAATTATCTTATCTAAAATGAATATAGTAAAACCTCTAGTAGTGAATACATCTTTATTCTGAACAGTCAAAACGTTTTGCTAACTATTATAGCTTACTCAATATGAATATACATGTAATATTCATTTGTCCGCCTGCTATTGTGTATCCTCTGTCTTGTTTTAGTATTTCTTCAATATCATCTGATGATAATTGACATCGTAAACAAATACAAAAAAAGAAAACCTTTTAAATTAATTATTTCATCAGTTAAAAAATATTGACGAATAAAATTTGCATTGATAAAAAATTTTCATATCGCTCGTTCTGTTTTCCATATATTTCTATCATATAAATAAATTTCAAGTTTTTCAACATGATTAACATTGTTAAAAAGTCATGTTAATAATGAAATTCTAAATCATCGTGAACATAGGTCTCAAAATTCAAACATTCTAATTTTGATATATATATTACAAAAAGAAGGCAATTAAAATCTTCTTTAACAATCAAATCAGAAATATAATAATTGAAAATTATATATAAACATTAATATACAAAAGTCTTTGTCTACTCGAATCTTAGCTACTGTAGGCAAGTAGGAACTTTCTCGAGTGCAAATACCAATACAACGAAAATCACACTCGAGAACGAGAGTTTTCGATTACTTCGAAACATGTGTTCAACGTTCGTGACTGTTTAATTGTCAAATATGAATCGGTGCATTTTAATAAAAGATTGACTGCGAAAGAAATTAACTATCTACTTCATCTGCAAAATGTATAAATAGGCACTTTGTACCACTTCCATCTCTTGAGAACGAAGTTGCTATAAAAAAACAAAAGAAATTTTCGAACCTGTGATTAGATATACTTATTCATATCGATATCAGAAAATTTCTAAAAGTATTTTAGATCATGATAATCTGCAGGATGTGGCTGTGGGAAATTGTAGATTTTCACTTGAGCTGGTTGATAGAAAAGAATCAGACCGAAACATCAGAGGTACGCGAAAATTAATTAGAACTCGGTTCTAAACTAGACATATTCATACGTGTGACGTCATCAAGGTATTAATGCGACACACTTCATTTAAAAAGACGTAAGCTGATAATGTCGTTTGTCTACTCTCAAAATATTTAATTTTTTCTATATTGATACTAACGCAGTGACGACATTCGGTAACATTCTAAACATAGGTTTCGGAGGGCTCAGATATGTGAAAAAAGGTTTACTAATGCTACTCTGAAGGTATATTTGGTAAGCGAAAACTCTGTGAACAAGAATTGTCTCGCATTTTTTTGAAGCTTGCGTTCTATCAAATATTAGATGGCGTATTTAAATGACTGTAGCTTTTAGAAACATCTTGGCCTGTAGGCAACATGTTTTTAGGCTTGAGGAGATTGAATTAAGTTTATGTTTTTTGAAAAACATTTTCTGAAAGTATGAGGAAAGATTGAACAAATGGATTTTCTTTTTCCAGTACAAAGTGGAATTTTGAACGTCTTCGATAATAATCTCTATCACGAAGTCTGAGATCAGTCTACGCTTATGTTGAACGACAGCTCAATGGGTGATCGTACGAGCAAATTTAGTAATTCACTTTTTTAGCTAGTGTCTTACAAAATATTAGGAAGTTCAGCAATAACACAAGGCTAGTTAGATCAAGTGTGTTGCAATAAAAGACTTTCCTATAGTAGAGGATCCGTTAGAGTAACGGTGTACTCAATTCTTAGTTTTCAGGATTTTGATCTGAAAACCTTTAAAGATTAAGGTTCACATTATTTCTGCTCTTTGTCAACTTTGAATATCTCTTCTCAAATCCTGAAAATCGTTTTGTTTATCTGAATAATTTCCTTTGTTAAAGATTATGAAAACAAATGAGACACGATTGAATATTGCCTCATGGCGATAATTGAAGATCCAATGTCTTCTATTGAATAGAGCATCTATGTTTAGTGAGAACAGTGCTTTTTTAATGCGACACGCCAACATTTCTTCGAGAAAAATGGGCCTTCCCCCATGAATGTATTACACGACATTCTTTTGATTGATTTTATGTTGACAGACTAAAGATGACACCGCTTTTTCCTTTTCTTTCCTTCACGTCAACTTTTGCGAGTTCTGACAACGTTGAATATAAGACAAGAAAAAAAAACAATTCAGTTCCTCAAAGTCATGACGATGAACAACACTTAAATTCGTTCTTTTCTCTTTCAATCGAGACAAGAATAAACATTTTCATCGGTTTCATCGTATCTGAGTTATTGACTATTCACAATGGTCGTCACATCTCATCGTATACTCTTCTTTTATTTATTAAGTTTGCTAGTGGCATTCTTCACGGTACGATTCACATATGCGCAAGGTGCAGGTGGTGGAGGAGGAGGTGGAGGTGGAGGTGGAGGTGGAGGTGGTGGTGGTGGTGGAGGCGGTTTTAGTGGTGGGAGTAGTTTTGGTGAGTTAAATAGCAGCCTGAAGACCAGTGATATTATAGCCTTGATGCTAAATCGTATCTAATCAAGAATAGTTATCTATCAGAAGCAGTCGCTATCAACACACACACACTTAGTTAACTTTCGTAGAAATTCTTCCCAAGATTGTTTTGAAAGTGAAAATGTCATAGTTCAAATACTCGAAGAAATTTTTAGAGAGTTTAGCATAGTCGTTGTATTTACGAATACATAGATGGATGCATTTGGAAAATGTGTGATTTTGATAGTTTGCGTGGTGAAAGGTTTTTGTTTTGGGAGTATTTATAGATCAGACTTCAAAGTACGTATTTTAAGGTCCAAGACAGAAGGTCTTTGGATATACGTAGAGTACTTGTAAGAATAACTTAATTTAAACCTGAGAAAGATCAATCAATGTTACAGTGGTCTCAATGACATCGTAAAGTAAGAAGCTTATTGAAAATTCGAAAGTGATTTTACTGCAACGACATGATCACTACGTGTATCAGTACATAAGATTGCTTTTTTCGTTGACGATTATTTTAACTGCATACAGCCAAGATCTGTTTTCTCTAAGCACACTGCAGTTAGTACCTGTCCAAGTCTACGATTCCGACTTCTCAATTTGTGAATTTTCGATGGATTCTCACTTGAAAGATTCCGTTTTCAGCTGGAAAATGATAGGAACTTGCATGCATAGATCTGTTGGCGGATATTTTTAGCTCCAGTGGTAACCGATCGTAACTTGGCAGAGCTGACTACAGAATCTGATCATCGAATTCATTATTTTCAAGTTTCTACACTTCTTCACCCTTTTCGCGTTGGAATCGATCCGTATTTATTGATTTGAATGTTTAAGTTTTGCCGTCTGTATCTTCACACTCATCCTCGCCCTACCAAATCCAACGAAAATCCTCCATTGCCTAGATATAGTAGACGATTGAGATCATATAATGATTACACTATTGAATATTATGATACGTAGTTGAACATGACTCGAGGTATTCGAATTATCATATCTCTCTCTGTTATCGATTCGAAATATTCATCTTTTATGTTGAACACTTGTTAGGAATCTTTCTTTCTTCGTTCTATACAATACGATTAAACAATTAATCAAAATTGATATTGTATGACGAAAAAAAAATATATATGACTATTTACTAATGTAATCTATCAAGTAGATTCAAAACACTGTAGAACATATACTTGCCACATTCACAATTTTTAAGTTTTGTTTTTTATTTAGGAAGTGGCGGTAGTAACTGGCACTATGGCTCTAGTAATTCTGGCACAACAAGCTGTAATACCGAAGCATGCCGACGTAATGCAATTATTATCGGTAGTGTTATAGGTGGCATTTTTGGGCTCGTATTTCTCTGTATCTGCTGTTTGATCTGTATCAAGATATGTAAACCTGGTTTTTATTCTTCCATTTGCCCCTGTGAATACTCGAAAAAAGCACCATATCAGTTGAAGAAAACTTCTATTAGGTCGAATACACTTCCATTTGCGATAAAACTCTCAACTGTAGATACAACATTTCCTTCTACATCTCGTATAACACTTCCTTCCATTTCACACACTAAACTACCTCCAATTTTATATTCTAAAACATCAACAGGAAAAGTCTTTCAATCAGGTTCTTATGATATGCGTTATTATCAATATGGGAAATGGCACGGGCCTTTTCTTGTTCAACTTGAATTCATTAATAGAAACGTTCAAGGTAGTGGTAATGACGATGTTGGCTCATTTGATGTTACGGGACATTACTCAAGAAGTGATTATCATATGAATTTGACAAAACAGTATAAACTTGGAACTGGAAATCCACGCGAAAATCTCGGACATCAAGTCAAAATTGATTTGAAATGGAATGAGCATGCAAAACATTTCGATGGCCAATGGATTGTCAAAACAGCAAATTATTCTGGTCAAGATAAATTCGAATTGAAATTAAGACCATATGTATAATCAGTTTAATGTGTGGTTTTAATGGTTTAAAGCTAAAATTCGACTGATTTATGCCAAGGAGCCATGTGCTGATATTCTATTGAATTGTATAAAAATTGATACTGCAGATAATTTCAGTTTTTTCCAAAAGAAGAAACAAAATTCAATCACCATGACAGTTTCAGTTTGCTGAAAGGTCTTCTCAGACGATGCATCTTATGAGCCAGTCCACGTAAGCCACGACCGAAGTTGCTCAATCGATATCATCAGAACTTGCTCAATTTAAGATATGTTATAGAGGGAAGAGTTTTATGATTTTTGACGCAAGCCGATTCAAA